AGTTCTAGAGCTAACGTGAATTAGATATAGTAGTATAATAGGTAGCTATAAGGATTTTAGCCGCCTCTATGCCCTTAGTCTAAGCATTAGTAATAGTAACGCACTTAGCTAGGTTTTAGGTAGTTTCTTAAATAGTAGCCTTAAACTGCTTAATATCCTTCTAATAGGCAACCACAGCTTTATTATCCTTATCCCCTTTAGCAGGGTTTCTAATTAGACTGTAGTATTCTTCTAGAGCACCCCTAAGGGCAGAGTACTCTTAGCTAACAAAAGAAGGAATCTGCTAGGATTAGTAAAGGAACCCTATTAGACTTAGATACTTACTAGATTGCAATACTTATTCTAGGAGATACAGTACTAGCACTTCTTAGAATTCTTTAACTTAAAATACAAAATTGTTAAACCTGCCCCTAGCTAGAGCCCTAACTACTCTTATATAGAGAGCGCGATAAGCGACAGGGAGGACTCCTAGTAGTACTAGTACTAGCATAGCTAAAGGTTCTAATTTAGATTAGCAACTGTTTAATTATATAGATTAAATACTTACTAAATTTTAGATAGATTAGGTTAAATAATTAAAAAATTAGGGATATAGGAATAAGAAAGTTAGTAGGTAGAGGGCTAGTTATAGGCAGGCTAAGGATAGGGGTCCGTGCCCTAGGAAGAAGAAGTGAAGGTAAAGGCAGAGGTAAAGGTAGAATTATTTGCAAAAAGCTCTTCTTTAATAAGGGATCTGAACCTAATCCTAAGGATAGGGACTATCCTTTCTCTACAGGAGGGGGTAGTGTAATAATAAGGCAGAATTGCCTGCCTATTGTTCTATGCCAAGTCAGGCCTAATAAAGGCCCGACTCACTAATATATATAGAGAACAGCTCGCCTATAGTTAGGATAGGCATGTTCTTCTTATCCTTTCGTACAAGACCTATAGGTGTAGGAATCTCATCCTTTTCCGTACAGACGCGCACTCCTATATGCCTTTGAATCATATAGGATACCTTTCGGATGCCCTACCTACCTAAGTCGTTACAACAGGGTATTTATTACGGGCATTTATTAAAGGCCTTTATTATGGGAAAAGAACTTATTTAATCTATAAAAGGACCAAATGATCCCTTATTAGTATAGATATGGAAAACTCTAGGTAAAGGTTC